GTCGTATGCCTTGGCGTGCTCATCTAGGTGCAGCTCGGCGATGGGCAGCCGCCTACGGTGGCCTGCTTCATGAGACGGGGCGGCCTCGGGGGGCTCCTTGGTGGCGGGGGGCCGGTGCCGCACTGACGCCTTGTCGTACTCAACCTCTGGTGGATGGACGGGGCAGGAGAGACACCACGTGGAGGAGCATTGCGAAAGTGTCTGATGTGTCGCGTGTCTCTTACCTCTCAGCTTGGTCAATTTTGCCCGACTGTGCTGCATCTTGCGGGTGAACTGAAGAGACAAAACACGGTGCGACTGGTCATCCATTCGCTTTTTCATTGTGCTGTCCGACGAACCTGCTGTGCCTCCTTGACCCGTTCTTCGTCCAGCCTCTGCTGCTCATGTCTCTGGAGTGTCCGCTGTCTCTTCTGCGCCCTTTCCCTCTCCTCCACTTCCCTAAAGACATCCGCCTTGCCACCCGCCGTATCATGATACCGCTGGTCGAGCTCTCTTCTGAGCGCCGCGAGCTCCCGGTCCTCACGCTCTCTCTGACGACGGTGGCGCCTTTCGGCATCTTTCTTCCACTTGCGGACTTCCTTGGCGGCCTCCTTTTGCTTCTCCCGCTCCCACTGATTCACACGGGCGTGGCGGCTCAGCGCTGCGGCGGGGCTGCCACACATCACATTCACACCCATGACCCGTTGTGGCTGTGGGGGAGGGGAAAAATCGTGTCTTGGCGGCTCTGCAGGTGGAGGCATGTACTGCTCGTGATTGCCCTGATGGTGTGGATGGACGTTTGGGGCACGATTGGCGGCCTCCAGTGGTGGGAGTGAGTGTCGCGGTGGATGGTGTATGGTGGGAGGGCGGGGGTATCCTCCTCGGGGATGGGAGGCAGGAAGGGCGCTGTCCGGTGCCTTCTCGGGCGAGTGGTTGGCGACAGGACCGCAGCCTCATTGAAGGCATGGGATACCTCCAGGGCCTGCAGGCAGCGCAGGAGGGAAGAACACAGGAAAATTTGCCTGGTCAGGTAGTGGCCCACCTTGACGCTTGAATCAATGATGTCCTTGATGATGTCTGTTGCCATGAGGCTTGCAGCCTCATTGTTAACTTCTTGGTGAACCATTTCCTCGGTTTTCTCTCAAAAGTGCGCGCTTGGACTTGGAGACCCCCAAAGCCCCCAGGCATGCATGCGGCCTGCCCTAGTGGAAGGGATAAATCATGGCATTCACACGCAGAGAAGGGACTGCAGTCTGGTGTGTGTCAAGAAAGAGGGGCGTGTCATGGCACATATATACATCGATCTTCGCGCAGCATGCAGCACTCAAGGTCCATTCATGCAGCACACGGCGGCCGAGATCAATGCACTCACATTGGAAGCACTGAGGAGCCCCATCCACGTAGCACAGCACAGCACACACCACATCATGTCCATTACATCACATGACACCGAGACTGTCTCGGCGACTACGCACCACAGACTTGTGAAAAAGGACGGCCTCTGATTTGATCTGCGGCCATAAAACAACAAGGCAGATCTGTCTGCATCAGGAGGGAGGGGAGGGAGAGGGCCAGCTGGTCATGCCACTGGGAGCAGCGACTTGAGCTGCTCCTTCTGCTGTGCAGTCAGCGACCTGCACGACAAACACAAAAACAAGACACAAATGGATGGATGGATGGATGCCGCCTGTCCTTTAAAGCTCTGCCGGGAAGATACCCACACAGATACCTACCTTGGGTAGCTGACGTCGAACTCGATGATCAGGTCACCCTTAGTGCCCGGCTGCTTCGATATCGGCATCCCTACACGACCACAACAGCAGTCGAGGTATGCGGGCCTGTGTTCGTGTTAATGCCGTGCGCTGGCTGCGTTGGGTGTGTGCTGGTCTACCTTCGTTGGAGACGATTTTTCTCGACTTGTGGCTGACAATCTCGTCCACACGGACCTGCAGTGTCCTGCCATCAAGCGTCTGGATGGGGAGGGTGAAGCCCGTCAACGCCTGCACACACACACACACACACACAACACACACATACACACACACACACATATACACATACACACACACGTGCCGTCTGCTCTGTCTGCTTGTGCTGGTTGGCTGGCTGACCTTGACGAGGGGAATGGTGGCCCTGAATACGAGGTGGTTGCCGTTGCGGACGAACCTCTGGTGGTTCTTGGACTTAACGATGAAGATGACTTCGCCCGCCCGCTCCCCCGGCGCTGGCTCGTCGCCCTCACCCTCATACTTTATCTTGGTGCCGTCCTTCCAGCCCTGCAGGCAGACATGGACACACACACAATCCACCCTCCATATGTATGTATATGCCCCCTGCAGAGTGAGTGTCATCGGCCCATTCTTTACCGGCTTGATTTCCACCTCGAGCACTTTCGGTTCCTTGGTCGGCACGCCGTTATTGTACCGTGTCCTCGTGATCTTGAGCTTCTTCGTCGTGCCGCTGCAAACACAGACAGACAGACAGACAGACGGACGGACACATTGCACACGATGCCAGGCGACCCAGAAACAACCGAAGGAGTGTGGGTTGGGCAGTCGGGCTTACGAGTAAAGGTCTTCTAGGCTGAGGTTGAGGTCCATTTCGTAGGGCCTTGGCCTCGGGTGGCCCATGCCGGCCATACCGCCCCCCATGCCGCCCATACCGCCCATGCCGCCAGGAAAGCCCCCCATGCCCCCCATATTTCCCGGGAAGCCACCTCCCATCATCCCCGGACCGATACGAAAGACGCCTGCCGGTGGGTCGGTGGCAGCACACACAGGCAGACAGGCAGATGCACATCAGATGGGAGGGAGGCGGTCTGTCTGTCTGGGCTGATCTGATTGACTACTGACTGACCTGGTCCGCCGAAGCCGGGCGGCATGTCGTCATCAAATGCACTCTGAAACCCCGCGAACTCACGGTCGCCGCTGAAGAACCGCCCGAAGAGATCATTCGGATCAATGCCGGTATCTGATCAGAGAGATGCAACCAACGGACGTCACAAGCCAGGCAGGTGCCAGACAGACACAGTCTCATTCCTCGTCCACGCGGCACCGCCTAGCTATCTCTCTGTCTGTCGATGCTTACAGACGAATCTGGTGCCTCCCGCTCCCGGTGGTGCAGGTCCGCCGCCTTTGAGTCCCTCCTCGCCGAGCTGGTCATATATCTGGCGCTTCTCCTTGTCGCTCAAGACGTCATAGGCCTCGGCGATGTCCTTAAACATCTCCTCCGCCTGCATGCACCAGTGAATGAATGCCGACGCATAAATACAGGCACACATCCACAGACAGACAGACAGACAGACAGATGGGTAGGTGGCGAGTGTAGTGTTACCTTCTTCTTTGCTGCAGCGTCGGTGTGTTTGTCCGGGTGCCATTTCATGGCCAGCTTGCGATAGGCCTTCTTGAGGTCCGTTTCCGTCGCATCCTTGTTCACACCCAATATCTTGTAGTAGTCCTGTCAGTCACCGACACACAGGGAGGGAGGGCACACACACACACATCCGCTGTATGCAGACCAGACCGCTGCTGTGGAATGCTATGCTCCTCACCTTCCCCATGGTGACGACTACGCCAGATGAGTCACTGCTTCACTGCCACGATGGATGATCACAGCGATGCAGCAAAAATCGCCTTCACCGCTTCCTCCTGCGTATCCGCTCCATCCCTTGGCTCATTCGCCGAAAACAGCGCATCCCGCCTCGTTTCAAAAGCTCGCAGCGCGAAGGAGCAGTTTCACGGAATGTCCTAGCGTGGCGTATGCTAGCTCGGATTTCTCTGCGCACAGACCCATCGACAGCGACTGCTCGAGATGACTGCCGAGACCCTGACCCCTGGCGCTGCCTCGTGTGGATCTCGTCGGATCTCGGGCTGATCCTGAATTCTCTCCTACGATGGCGCGTCACGTCGCGTGCCACCGAGTGTGGGCGATGACGACCCGCATGTGCAGATCTCCGGCGTTCCACTCATGCACAAGGCAGCTGACGCTCGCACAGGCAGCAGCAGGACCTGCTCCGAGCCCGCCTGCTTCACTCGCGGCTGCGTCGTCCCGTCTTAGTGGCGCCGCTCATCTGCAGCACCGCCCGTCCCGGCGGTCCTTTCATTCATTCGCGGACCGTCGCGGGCCCTCTGCAGCCCTCTCCCCAGCCTCTCTTTCCCTCCCTTCTTCCCACACTGCCATCCCCCTTCGGCGCGTCGACTCAGCTTTGCCACCGGGGTGCAAGGACCTGGTGGTGGGGTCTTGCCGGACCATTTTGGGCGTGAGGAGGCAGGTGACCGCTGAGGACATCGAGAAGTGGCAGGAGGATATGAAGAAGCAGCCAGGGTGGATTCCGCCCCACGAGTACAAGCCCATGCCATTTTCGGGCGACTGGATCTACAACATTGTGCGTGAGAAGGACCGCAAGTGGGTCGAGCTGATCAGGCTGCACGTCCCGATGCCCATCCTGCTGCTATGGTTCCCCTCCGCCTTCGCCATGGCGCTGGCCGAGCCCACAGGCGTCCCTCCAGACGCGGCATCCATGGGACTCTTCTTGCTCGGCAGTCTGGCCATGCGCTCCGCTGGCTGCATCATCAACGACTTGTGGGACAAAGACATCGACAAAAAGGTGCCTGCCGCCAGCCGACCAACAGCTGTGGCCATCCAGGAATACTCAACACACGCCTGGATACGTGTGTGTGGGGCATGCAGGTTGAGCGCACAAAGAACCGGCCCATAGCGTCGGGCAGAGTGTCCGAGAGAGAAGGTCAGGAGGGCGGGGGCGGGGGGGGAGGCACCTTTGTCTGTCATCACCCTGACATTGGTTGTGTATTGGATGTGCAGCTATGGCTGTTCTGGCGGGCTGCCTGGGTGTTGGGGCTCTCGTGCTTGCGCAGTTCAACACCTACTGGTACAAAAATAGCGAACTAACTCGCCTTGTTTCGTGTCGGATCGGGCCTGTTTGTGTGGTGTTTGTCGGTCAGCATCTTGACGACTCTGTCGTCAGTGGGTCTTGTGGTGGTGTATCCGCTGATGAAGCGCTACACCAACATGCCCCAGATGTTCCTCGGGCTCACTTACAACTGGGGCGTGATGGCGGTACGCTCACCACACAACGGCCGATCGGCCGTTGCCAATGGGGCACACACACCATCACGTGACGCTTCTTTCTCTATATGGTTGTGTGTTGTGTGTGTCAGGGTTGGTCGGCAATACGGGGGTGTTTGGACCAGCCCGAGGTGTGGATACCGCTGTACGCTGGCTGCGTGTGCTGGACCATTGTGTACGACACCCTCTACGCTCACATGGACAAGGAGTGGGACAAGAAGATCGGCGTCAAATCCACCGCACTCCTCTGGTTGGTACCCACGGCCGATGGATGACTGACTGACGTAAGGGCTCCCGTGTGTTGTGTGTAGGGGAGAGGAGGCTCCGAAGATGATGTTCGGCTTCACGGCCTTGATGGGCTTTGCCTGGGTATTGGCGGGAGTCAACATTGGCATGGGGGTCAGTACGCTACGCTAACCACACTCCCACTCAACGCGCACACAACAAACACAGCAGGCAGGAAGAGAGCCTCTCCCGTGTGTGTCACTCACTGCCACAGGGTATCTCCACCCCATATTACCCCTGCATCGCGGGGGCATGCGCCGTGTCAAGCTGGCTGGTACGCCTCAACAGACACACACACGCACTCCAACATAGATAGGGTCATCCTGAGTATGTGTGTATGTGTGCCATTTGTCCACTTCAAAACCTGGGCATCCATCCATTAGATCGCCTCGACTAAGTACAATCGGCCGGAGATGATCCCGCACAAGTTCCGCAAGTTCGGCGTCGTAGGCGTGCTCATGTTGACGGGGTGCATCGGCGGCACCCTCCTCGCCCCCAAACGGAAGCACGAGTTCGACCTCGAGGCCAAGAGGGAGGCGGAGGCCAAGGTGGCCGAGAAGGACAAGGTCGTCCGGCCCACCAAACCCGAAGGGCCGCCGCCAAAGCTCGATGAAGACGAGGAGGCCAACTATGTCAGGGCCACCACTGACCGAGAGGCCGAGGAAGAGGCCGATGACGAGGCGGCGGGGAGGGCCAGGAAGGCGCCAGCGGGCAGCCTGGCCGTTCAGCTCATCAAGAAAGCCACTGGCACATCGTCAACCGGTCAGACACACAGGCAGACGCACATGGAGGGCACACAGATGGTCGATGCACCTCTGTCCTGCTGCAGGCTCTGAAGAACGCCGTGCCTTCCGACTCCCGTGACGACACGTGTCTCTGATGGATGGATGGACCTGGGGTGTGTGCAGACTAGTGAGGGAGGGAGTGCATGTGCCTTTGCACTTTTGCCATGTGGCCATGGCCCAGCCACACAATTTGGATGCGGACGTGGGAGTCAGGTCATGCAACATGGGTGGAGAGGCAGACAGCGGAGGGGTGCTTGTGTGATGTTCTGACATGTGCGATCGGACGAGGCGACGGATGTAGATGCTCGACCCGCGGCAGTGGAGGTTACTCGTTGGCCCGTTTTCTCGGTTGCCTGCGAGTGCCCTTCTCTGGCAACGGCTGAGCCAACTTCCGGCCGTGTCCCGCTTATCTGAGACAAAAAACGACTAAACGCATGCGTTTACCTCATGAGGTAAATCCTTGAACGATGGCATTGCGGTCTGCCCTGTTGTTGCTGGTGGTTGTGATGGGCGTCAGCGCCTCACTCATATCATTCGTCGGACAGATCCTCTCACCACACCGGGATCTCAAGAGACTCGTACACACGCCTGCAGCCCCTGACGCATCCGATCAGCAGCCTGTAGATGCTGCTGACCATGGCGATTCCGCCCGGCCATTTCGATCATTGCGGCACGCCAAGGAGCAGCTCTCCCCTGTCGTGACTCTCGTCACTGTGGCCAGCGACACCCATATGGCAGGCTACGTGGTGCTCGACCGGTCGGCCAGGCACTTCGGTGTTCCAATGGTCACTCTGGGTCAGCAGGGCAGGCACAGGAAGGAGCTCAAGCTGGAAGTGATGCGGCACTGGCTGAGAGATCAAAATCCGGGCATCTTGTGTGTGTTCACTGACGGCTATGACACTCTTCTGCGCATCCCTGGCGAGGAGCTGAGGCGCCGCGTTGGGGCGATGTTTGCTCAGGACAACGCCACCATCATCTTCTCGACCGAGAAAGGCGTCTGGCCCGAGAGAAGGTACGCAGGCCGGGAGAGTAGTATTGAGCAGACAGGGGGTGTAACACCCTCACGGCTGTTCCTCTGTGTTCTCCGTGCCAGCCTGAAGCCAAGGTATCCCCGAACGCCCAACGAGGATGGCTACCGATACCTCAACGCGGGCGGCTACATCGGCAGAGCCGGCGCCCTCAGCTGCCTGCTGGACAAATGGGACGGACGGATGGACGACCAGCTGTTCTTCACTATGAGATTTCTCAACCAGGACGTCGGCTGCAACGTGACCATCCGGCTTGATTACGACAGGCTGCTGTTCCAGAGCCTGCACGAGCTGGACAGTAGTGAGTGGGCCCTGGCTGAATACGGGGAAGGACAACGGACCTTCGCTCGGAGAGACGGCCAAGATGCCGCGGCGCTGGTGCATGGCAACGGCGGGGGCAAGGCGCTGCTGGGGTACCTGAGCAACTATGAGGCCGGTGCCTGGACCGAGGAGAATGGGTCGTTGTGGCATCGGAGAGACGGCGAGTCTCCATATGTGCAGCCCACCCTGGTCCTGACTGTCGTCTGCAACGATCGGAATTCGACAGTAGCGCATGACGAGTTTGCCCGTGGACTGATGAAGCTGCAACTGGACCATCGAAAAACCGCTCTATTCCTGTGGCGCCATCCCAACTGCACAGTTCCACTGGACGCGGCCTTCAACGGCCGATTTGCCGACGTGATTGAGGGCAACTATTCCCATCGAGGGGCCCACGAGCAGGTCCTACGCGTCACGCGTCAGCGCGCGGCCACGCACTTGTTCCTGATCGAGAGCGGCTTCGTTGTCGAGAGGCCGGACACACTGCAGCAGCTCGTCCAGGACAACCTCACCGCGGTCATCCCGTTTGCATCAAACCAAGGGTCGCCCCCAGAACATACCAATTTCGTCGCATCGATGGACCAGGACAAGGACCTGTCTTCTGGCCAGCATCGAGGCTTATGGCGTGTAGAGTGCTGGTCGAGGGCCATATTGATCAGACGGGACCACCAGCCGAGCATGGAGGACGCACTACAGGCGATGGCGCATGGAGACACGTGCCGCCCGCCTGTGGGCCAGTATTTGTCAATTGTGTTGGACAATCGGTATAGCTATGGCAGACTGATAGAGGGCGGGTAGCCCAGGTGTGGCTCTGGTGAGTGTGGGTGGGGCGGTGCATTGATTGGCACGGGAGATCATTGCCTGCGGACTCGGTAAGTATTCGTCTGTTTGTCGGTCAACGGAGTTATTGGTTCTCTTGGCGTAAGTACTCACCGAAGCCACATTGACAATGAATGGGCACACATACATACATTCGTCCACACCCACACACGCACGCCCTACAGTATCATCATCTCATGTCCCATCCACACATACACACATTCAGTCAGTCCGGCTGAAAAGGGTTAGTAGTGTTCCTTGCCGGCGGTGTGCTGCTAAGAGCATCCCCCCTCTCGACCACCCTCCTGCCCCTCTCGGTCATCGACTTGCTCCGATCTGACGTCTCCCACTGCGGCGACCGACCCACTGTAGCCATGCCATTGGGGGTCGCAGCGGGAAAGGGATTCCTCGCAGCCGGCCCATCCAGCGCGCCACTCGACGAAGCGAAGGGATTGGTCGGCGGCTGACTCTCAGCAGCGGCAGCAAACGGGTTCAGGGGCACGGTGCTGGGAGTGGGGGTGGTGATGTCCGGTGCCCTCCTCGCTGGCACAGGCGATCGCGGGAGAGCCACGGGGGGTGCAGGGGCTGGCGCGGCGTAATTGCTGGTGGTGGCGAAGGGAGAAGGACTCGACAATGGCAGTGGCTGCCTCGCCGGTGGTGGTACAGTAGCAGTAGCCACAGCAGCAGCACCAGCAGCAGCACCAGCAGCAGCAGCAGCAGGGACGCCGTTGTCGAATGGGTTGAACCCCACAGAAGATGACAGTGACGGTGACGGCGGCGGCATGTCGGCTCGCATCATGGAGGAGAGGAATGGGGAGGGGGCGAAGGGCGGCTGGGTGGGCTCCGCGGCGGCTGTCATGTCCGATGGCGTCAGCTGCTGCGGGAAGAGCCCCCTGCCGAAGTACTCGGCCACGTGTGCGAATCCGTCCGGGGATCCTCTGAGGAACTTGAAGAACTCGTCGGTGTTCTTGGCCTGTGCCTCTCGCTGCTCGCGAACCACCTGCAGACACACAAGAAAGAGCATTCTCATGACATGACGCGGGCGTGTGTGCATACGCGCGTGTGTGTGTGTGTGGTCTTGCGCTTTTTGGCTGATGTAGTGACCTGTTTAGCCTGTGCCTCCGGCGAGCATTTGGGGCAGAGAGGTTCGACCACGTTGGGCACGCAGTAGGAATGGTACGAATGGCTGCAGGCGGGATGACACACACACACACACACACAGAGAGAGAGAGAGAGGGGAGGGCGTCTACCCACCGTACCAACCGTCCAAGTGCGCAGGGCATACGACGCATGCATTCCTTCCTACCCGCAGAAGAAGTGTATGGAGGGCACCTCCAGACCCAAGCCACATTGGGAGCAACGCGTCATCTGACACACAACCAACAACCAACAACCCGTGTCCGTCTGTCGTCCTACGCGCAGCAGGTCTGCCCACCTGGAAAGGCCGTGGTTGTGTCTTGAGTTTCTCGATCTCGTCCTGCATGCGCTCTATCTCCTGCCGGTCGCGCTCAATCCGATCCTCAGACGCATCTACACACACACACACACACACACACCGCACCACACAGACAACATCACCACATCGTCCCTCTTTTGCCAACCGATGTCAGCAGTGAGCTGATTGAACGCATTCATAAGGTAGCCCTTGACGGCTCCCACCGTCACGGCACTGCTGCAGGCCGCTGTGCCATCACCTCCCTCGCCCTCCTGGCCGCCCTCGTCTGAGTCGCTGTGTGGTTGTGCGTTCTGCCTGAGGATCTCCAGCACGGCGAGCGGGGGCAGCAGACGGTGGTGCTGCAGTGCACATCAACCAACAGACATAGATGGATGCACGGCGCTAGACGGATGGATGGATGTGTGTGTGTATATGGTTGTTTGACGGACCTCTATGTGTTGGAGCACCTCCATTATCGCCATGTTAGCGTCGTCACGACTGACAGACAGACAGACAGACACACAGACATGAGTCACGCCAGAAACGACCCCATATGCTTCTCTGGGTGGCTGCCCTCCGCGTGAATGGATTGGGGCTTACGTCGCCAGGTGTGCGAGCGTCTCTGTCCACAGGCTCTGGTCGGTGGCCCCCCACCGCACACAATACTCCACCAGCTGTGACAAACACGAATCCTGCACCACGCATCGCATATCAATCAGAGCAAATGGATTGGCGCGACGGGCCAAGGGTCTTGGCTTGGATTTGCACCCACCGGCAGCTGTAGGAAGTGCGGGAGGGGCAGCTGCAGCAGCCCCAGCTTCTCACACACATACGTCAACCTACACACACAACCAGCCCCCCGCTCTCCCATGCCGTGTGTTCACACGTCACTGCCCCTGCGCTTACGCCTCCTGATGGTCATATATTTGGCACAGCGGCAGCGACGCCTGCAGGGTCTCATCAGAGGTGCCGAACTCGCGCAGCAGCTTGATGACCGACTTGGGCGAGGCGGGCTCGCTCAGCGACAGCGACAGTGAGGGCGGCTGGGATGGTGACGGGGTGGGAGTGGGAGGGGCCGCCGATGTCGCATCAGTAGCAGCAGCTGCTGCTGCTGTTGGTGTTGTTGTTGCTGTGTCAGGTGAGGTCTTCTGCACTAGGGCCTTGTGCTCACCTGGTTCACCACACCCACACGCGTCAATGAATGTCCAGATGCATCGATCGTTTTCAGTGGGTGTGTGTGGTTGCTTACGCAGCAGTAGCTCGAGTGCGGTTGTGATAACAGCAGGTGATAGCGGCGCGGCGCCCGATGCGAGTCGGCCCGCAGCCACGGCGTTGGCGGGGTCGGTCGATGAACCGACAGACTCCAACACCTCACACAGAAACCGCTGGAGACACAGCCACGGGCAATGTGTGTGTGTCAGAGGTCGTGTGGGTGTGGGTGTGGGTGTGTGTCTATGTGGTTAGATGGCTACCCTGAGCTGTGTGCTGTTGTCCATGAAGAGGGGGAAGAACACCTCCACACTGATGGGATGCATCGCCCACACACATGAGGGAAGGGTGGCGGTGTGCCGTAGATAAGGGGACCTCGGCCCACCTGGGGTTGTATTTGCGGCAGATGTCCTTGATCAATGCAAGGGTCTCCTGCACACACACACACAGACACTCACACACGAGAACAAATCGATGTGTGTGTGTATGTGTGTGTGGGGGGGGGGGGGGG